CCATTGACAATAAATGCTAACTACGTGCATGTAACCATAAAAATTGAGAATTTTATATTTATTTGGCAATGTTGCGTTGCGCGTTGGTGGTCAGCGATGAAATTCATTTATTTTAATGAAAATCGTTAAAACGTTTGATTAATTTGCCCTCGCTTGCCGTTTGCATTCATCCATTGACCAAGCGACCGACAGACCGTCATAAACATAAAGCACGTTTTATTTCACTTTCATGTGGCACTTTAGCTGTGGGTTTGAGAGAGCGGGGGGAAGATAGATGTAAAAATTTAATATCTTTCTGGTTTTCCATCACACCACACAGGACCACAACAAACAATCGAATTGGCATGGCAGGGCTTGGTTATAGTGGAGCGGAACGGAGTAGAGTTGAGAATGGCAAGCCACTGGTCATATCCCTGTGATTTGTAACATCTGCTAGAATTAATGGCTGGACATATATAGGAGTTTTATTAAAATCCAAGAAATTGCTTCTAGGGATATATGTGTGTGTTCACATTTCGAGGATTGTTATAAAAATGTAAACCGGTTGGTAAGGTTTCAGTTTTAAGTGTTGTTGTTGTTAAACCATCTTGTTGGATGTTTAGAAATTATTTTACAACACCTTCTTTGTCTGTTGATGCAGTATAGAAAAAATATGCATTTAACATAAATACCCATATGTCTAGAATATTTGGTATTGAAAATGGGATACATAGATACACGATTGGGTAAGGACTACTGATTTTCGGAGACATACAATTTATATTCGCATTTTATTAACAAATAGACAGTTTGACACAAGTTTCCATCGAATGATTCAATATTGCTAATAATTAAGTATATGACCTAATAATTAAGTATATTATGAGTACTTTGCAGATCTTATGAAATTTTTTAAAATAAATTTAATTAAAAATCTGCAACTCAAATCTCAGGGGATAATAATCTCCTTGTCAAAACCTTAGGGGAAAGGGAACAAGTTAAAATGCAGTTAGTTCAGCCGGGCCGGATGCTATTCAACATCCACCATTTGGAACGAATTTAGAAATTTCCGAAAAACAAAATCCCTAGAAAACTCTGTTAAAATTTAAAAAACCCGAATATTGCCGTTATATTGGGGTCTATACGACGCGAATCTACATAGATATTGCTTGTCATTAGTCATTACCATATTTAAATTCGAAACTTGAAATAAACGGTGAAATATGTAGTAGACCTGGACCTGCAAAGACAATTTCCTGTCATAGACTGCACAGACAAATTTCTTTCACAGGCTGTAGCTCCATTACGAACTTCAGATTCCAGATTTGACACAATTCCGGTGTATGATGTCGCTAAAATCATTAAAATACCGAATATCGGGAGGTACCGTTATATGGTGGCTATATGATAACGTGGACAATTTTCCGTTACAGACTGCAGTTCCCATTACGAACTCTAAATAAGTAATTTGAAATAAATTCCGGTGAATAATGACGCTAAAATCATCAAAATACCGTTATATGGGGACTTAACGAAGACGTGGACCAGCACAGACAATTTTCTGTCTTAGGCTGTAGTATCCATTTCGAACTTCAAATACCTAATTTGAAACTATTCCGGTGAATAATGCCACTAAAATCATCAAAATACCGAATATCGGGAGGTACCGTTATATGGTGGCTATATGATAACGTGGACCTACCTGGCCCATTTACGAACTTAACCTCCCTACTGGCAAAATATACATGTGTATATATTTAAGCCTTCTATCTCAATTCGTTCGAAAGATAGCGTGATTACAACAGACAGACAGGCGGACAGGCGGACAGACAGACCGACAGACAGACAGACGGACATCGCTAAATCGACTTAGAATTTTACGCTGGTCAAGAATATATATACTTTGTTGGTTCTGAAATGAGTATTTCGAGGAGTTACAATCGGAATGACAAAGTTAATATACCCTCCATAGAATGGTGGAGGGTATAAAAATTAAAATGAAACGACATAGACAATTATGCTAGGAAGAGTTACTATTTAGGTTTGCTCAGTCGGATGAAGTTTCGAAGCAGTTAGACGCGTCCGATCAGTAACCTAGGGTGGTGCCGAAACAAACTTCTTTGAAATTATGTCATGGAATAATATCATATCAATGTAAGTGTCTCTTTTCATGTATAATGTCATATGCCATGGGTATACATCTCTCCAAAAAATCGAATGATACTTCCAACATTGGGTTCGAAACGGGGTAAGGGAACAAGTTTTGGTATGTTGCCTTAAATTCGAAGTATTATGTAGTCATGTCCGATTAGTTCGGTTAATATTCGTTTATAATAAACAGGGTGAGATGATAAAACTGCAACCAAATTCAGACTGCTGTAATTTCTAAGCCACTCGTCCGACAGCTGTTAAAATTATTCCAGTGACAGCTTATTATGCTGTTTACAAGCGTACAAAAGTTTTTTGGTGAGAAAAAAAGTTATTCGTGATGGAATTCAAGCGTGATAGTGTGATTTCTTCATATTTGGCTTTAAAACCACAAGTGGCTATCGTTAGAGCACTCCAGCACACCCAGATATATATCATCTTCACAACAGATCTTAATTTAGCAAAAATGTTTGTTTGTGTGAAATTTGAAGAGGGTTGGGTGCTTATTACGCGTTCTTTGAGCGTTATGTTTTGTAAAATTTTGAACCCTATGTGGGGGAGGTACCAGAAGGAATGGTCCGATCTCTACTATCTTTATAACAGATCTTGTGTTTATGGAGGTATTGATATGTGCCAAGTCTGAATGGAATCGGATGAGGTTTATAAATATTCAAAATGTTGAATCTTTGTGGGGGAGATACCAGGTGGAGTGGGCCGATATATTCCATCTTCAAACCATACCTTGGATTAATTAGAATATTGTGATGTGTTTAATTTGAAGATAATCGGACACTTACATCACATTTTGTAAGAGTTATAATTATTCAAAATTTTGACTATTTTTGGGGGGAGGCACTTGATGGAGTGGACCGATATAGTCCATATCCTCTCTTGACCTAGCACTGATACAAATATTAGAATTTGCAATGTTAGAGCAAAATCGGATCATCCTTTCTTTTCCTTTTGATAATTATATTACGAGTTTGGACCAAATCGAATACTCCCTTTGAGAGTCATAGTGCGCACCAGCCAGACAGGCAGATGAACCAACATCGCTAGATCGACTCCAAATGTCCTGAAACGGATTTGGTCCGAAAAGATCTGGGGTCTAGAACTCTTATTTCGATGAGGCACGTTTTGGCCATATCAAATAAGGGGGTATATCTCTCTAGCCATATGGCTGAATGTATAAACAAGTAAAAAAAAATATGTTAGGGCCGAACTTTTAGTCCTCTCCACCTTAGGGTAAAAGATACATTAGAACCCATTATGAACCACAAATACCAATTTGTAGACAAATCCCGTAAGAAATGTATCAAACATCAGTAAAATAACGAATATCCGGAGGTACCGTTTTATGGGGGCTATACCAAAAAGGTAGGCCAATGCGTACAATGTTTCGTCAACAGAGTTAGAATCCATTATGACTGTTTTTAGACAAAACAGCGAAAAATGTAGCAAAAATTAATAAAAACCCGAATACCAAAGCGTCGACTTATACATACAATGTTTCGCCACCGGAGCTAGAATCCATTATGACCTACAAATACCAATTTTTAGACAAATCCCTGAAAAAATGTGGCAAAAATGACCAAAATACCTAATATCGGGAGGTACCGTTATATGGGGACTATACCAAGACGAGGGCCGATATATCTCATTTTCAATACCAACCATCCTAGATGCAATACAAAGTTTGTTCCTTAATCTACGTCAAATAGTGTGTGGTGTATCGTGATTTCAACAGACAGACGGTCAGACAGGCGAACATCGTTAAATCGACTTCGAATTTTATGCTGATTATGAATATTTGTACTTTATGGGATTTACGACGAATATTTAAGGATGATACAAACGGAATGACAAAGTTAATATACCCTCCTTTCCAAGGTGGAGGGTATAAAAAGGATCCATTAGAAAAAGTAAGCCACTAGTCAAAACACGTAATATCGGAAAATATTATCATATGGGTGCTATGAGAAAACATGAACCGGCATGAATGTTTTTAAAATTTCACCTAACTATAACGTGTCGGACAATCCCTTTTGAGAGTTACCGCTCACGCGCACAGTTCTAGATCGTCTCTAAATGTCTTTATATGAATTTTGTAAAAAACGTAGGATCTCAAACCTTAATTCGGATGAAGCCTATTTTGGCTGTCCAAGATGATATATGGGTATTCTCTATAGACGCAAGTATAAGCTTATACAAATTATGTAATTTTTTCCCGATTTGTACATTCTTTTTTATGGATATGTGGATTAAAATCATTCTATTGTGCCACGCCGAGTAACAACAATGCGGCAAAAAGTATTTTTATGTCATCTCACAAGCCCCCTTGTTGATAATTTTAATTTAATATAACACACACAGATATAGGATTATGCTGGGATTTATGAATCCATACATGTTATCAATTAGAGGCAGGGAGTCTCTCAGTCTCTTCATTTTTGAAACCCATTGTCTTCTCTTTCAAATGTTTCAGTTAAATGCTATTAATACAAACTGTTGGCCATATTCACCGCAAACAAACGCAAACAATTATTATACATACAAACATACCATTCTGAAGAGAATATAGTTATATACACATGTATATGATGGTGCATGTGCATTCATGCATACACAAATACACATGTATACATGCATGTGTATGTGTTTGTTTTCATTTTCAATTGTCGTATTTATTTTAATGTTTGTCCTGCGGTAGAACTGGTGTTGGTGGCCAACCAACCACCACAACCTGCCTTCCCGTGCAACATGCATTTGTATGTGTGTCTGTGTGTGTTGAAGCACTTCCTTTAAAGTCTACAACAGCCGATGGCAATGGTTTGTTTCGCTGTTTTGTTTGTTCGTTTGAAAGTGTTACATACCTATAACTGTTAAATTTGTTGTAAAAACCCGCGGTGGATGTGTAGAGACTTGACACATATAGATGCCCGCATCGTCCCACTGGGTGGGATTGATCAGCAAACGCCAATTGTTGGGATATTGAAATTTCACACGTATCCTGGGGTCACTGCTGTAGGTGACGTTGCCCACAGTCAACAGGGATACTTTTTCCGATGTCCGTCTCACCCACATGACCTGCAACGGAAGAAAAGCAGAATGAAAAAAAAAACGACAATGCATTAAACAAATAAGAAATAAAATAACATGAATGAACAAACAGATATGTAGTGAATGACCGCAACAATGAAAACAAAAATAAATGGCGAGTATTTCAGAAGCAATGAAAACCAACAAAAACAGCAGGAACAGCAAATATATACGAAGTGGGTTACTGTGGTACAGAAGTGAAAATAACCAGAAACTATTGCGGAGGATTCTGCCAAATGCATGTTGTGCTGAAAATTAAATAACAACCAGCGCTGTTATAAAGTCTATGAGGTTAATGGAAAATCGAAAAGTTTTTATTTATTTTTTTTCATGGTACACAGCAGGCGCTGGTATTCCGAAGGGGATTTTTTATGCATATGACATTAGCTATGCAATACAAAGCGAGAAAATTATCTCTAAAATACGCTTTAAATTCTTGGAAAATTGTTTTACTTATAAGGACCTTACGATGGCTATTTGATCTTAGGTCAATAAATCCATCAATGGAAGGCGAAATAAGTAAAAAAGCAGTTAAGCCGAAAAATGTTTTTAAGAATGTGGCTGAAATGATCAAAATGGTGAATATCGGAAGGTACAGTCTTATGGGGACAGTGCGAAAACGTAAACTTGTGTAGGTAATTCTCTATAAAATATAATATGGTACATATTCGATCGAAAACCGATCATGTAACTAGCGAAAATAGGAAGCCACTGTTATATGGAACCTTACGAAAATGTGACAAAGTTGAAAAAAAAAAACAAGTAAAAAAGCAATAAGATCAGTCAGGCCGAACTTTGAATACCCTCCACCATTTGAAACGAATTAGAAATTTTCCAAAAAAAAAAAAAAAAATAAATAAATAAATAAATAAAATCTATTAGAAATTCAGTTAAAACCTTTAAAATACCTAATATCGGAAGGTGCCGACATATAGGGGATATTCGATATTATGGACCTATATAGACAAATCTATTTCTGGGGGTAAAGTACTCAGAAGGGACTCCTTGTGTGGAATTTCAGACAATTCCATTAAAAATGTGGCTAAGATCATCAAAATACCGAATATCGAGGGGTACCGTTATATTGGGGCTATACCATATCGTGGACCTATATAGATAATTATCTTCCAAGGGATAAAGTACTCGCAAAGAACTTCTTGCGGCTAAAATCATCATGATACGGAATATCGGGGGTATCGTTAAATTGGACCGATATAGCCCATTTTCGAACTTGACCTGCCTGCAGACAAAATTTTAGCTTTCTATCTTAATTCGTTTTGACTGTAGTGTGATTAAAACAGACGAACAGACGGACGGACGGATAGGGTTAAATCGTCTTTGGATTTTACGCTGATCAAGAATATTTATACTTTGTTGGGTCTAAAATCATTATTTCGAACTTAATATACCCTCCATACTATGTATGGTGGAGGGTATAAAAAAGCAGTTAAGCCGGATCGGAATTTTTAAACACTCCACCAATGAGAAATTAACACTTTGAAAATATATTTATAAGTGAGGAAGTTTAGTATTCTGCGGATCATGAACATCCCGAAAATAGGGAGCCACCGTTATATGGTAACCTTACGACACTGTGAATCTGCAACCTGAAAAGGTAATTTGCAGTCATATTAAATTTAAAAAAAAAATTCGTGAAAAATGCGAAACATATCATTAAAATACCAAATAACGGAATTTTCAGTTATATGAAAACTATACTTAAGCTTGGATCTATATGGACAGTTCTTTCCTACATACTGAAATCGAAAAACTGCCACTTTATAGCGAATTCAGTATCAAAACTATGACAAACACCAGACCAGTAATGAAAAGTCGAAAGACGGGTGGGGCCGACTATATGATACCCTACACCACCATGCATATTTAGTAACAAAAGAATTTATTTGAAGTAGATCATGCCACCTATATATATTTGGCTTAAGAGCAGTTATAGAGAGAAATAATATACGGGAGGCATCTATAATTCTGAATCGATTTTCACCAAATTTGACGGAGGCATCTGTACCTATTCCAAGTAACATTGCTATAAAGTGAATGATATCACTTCTAGACGATTTCCATTAAAAAAATATATATCGGAGCCGAGTTCCACAAAATGGAAACATACTTCTCAAAATTCACTCCATTTGGGCTGATATTAGCCGTTATTTGCACAATAAACCTGAAATCGTGTTGAGGATATATATGGAACCTATATCCAAATCTTGGCCGTTCTCTATAAAATTTGAACCGATTTTCTCCAAATTTGATGCACCTGCTTCTAGACATATTGACCATTTGGTGCACAATTAACCCGAAATCGGTTGAGATTTATAGGGGAGCTATATCCAAATTTGAACCGATCTTTACAAAATTTAATACTTTTATTTCAGAGCTGTATTTGATATCTGGTACCAAAAATCATTGTTATGGAATGCGTAAATGCCAAACTTCATTCCATTTGGGTTGATATTAGCCATTTGGTTGATATCGGATAAATATATATATGGGAGCTATATCCAAATCTGAACCGATCTCGATAAAAATTGACAGAGGAATTTTCAAGCAGTATATGATATCCGGTACCAAACATCATTCTTCTGGAGTGCATATTACGCATGTTAAGGACTTACATCCCCAAATCGGATGAAACATGTGTATTGGAGCAATAGCTTTATCTGAACCGATTTTCACCAAGTTTGATGTACGTGCTTCTAGACTGTATTCGGTGGGGTGTACCAGGTCATTTGGACTTGTATTGGCCTTTTGGTGCACAATTAACCCTCAATCGGTTGAAGATATATATGGGAGTTATATATAAATTTGAACCGATTCTCACCAATTTCAATAGGATCCGTCTTTGGACCAAACAAATATTCTTTTGAAAATATCATCTCAATCTGATACTAAATGCGACTTGCATTTTGTTCACAAGATTTAATGGACGTACGGACGGACGCACTAACATGCATACATTAACTCAGAAAGTGATTCTATGAAGATTTTCAAATTTTCTTATAACCTGATCTGGGTAATAGAGAATTCCAAGTGGATTTGCTAGTAGAACAAAACCCCAAAAAAGCTCTAAGGCCTTTATATAGCCTTGACCATATGCAATGGTCAAACGTTTAATGTAGAGCTTTGAACATTTACGGATTGCTGCATCAGTCTCTACATAAGAGTGAACTCCTATTTGATGTACTTGTTATACCCTCCACCATTCTATGGAGGGTATATTAACTTTTTCATTTCAAATGTAACTCTTTGAAATACTCATATCAGACCCAACAAATTATATATATTCTTGATCAGCCTAAATTTCTAAGTCTGTCGGCCATCTTTCGAACGAATTATGATAGAAGGCTACAATTTTGCACAAAAATATATTTTGCCAGTAGGCAGGTTAAGTTTGTAAATGAGGCATATAGGTCCACGTTTTCATATAGCCCCCATATAACGGTACCTCCGGATATTCGGTATTTTGATAATTTTAGGAATAGGAATAGTTTCAAATTTAGTATTTGAAGTACGTAATAGATACTACAGCCTAAGACAGCAAATTGTCTTCGTATAGCCCCCTTACAACCGTACCTCCCGATATTCGGTATTTTGATGATTTTAACGAATATATTCACCGGAATTGTTTCAAATTTTGTATTTGAAGTTCGAGATGGATACTACAGTCATCAGAAATTTGTCTGTGTAGGTCCAAGTCTTCGTAGAGCCCCCCTATAACGGTACCTCCCGATATTCGGTATTTTAATGATTTTATGGACATTTTTCACCAGAATTGTTTCAAATTTGGTATTTGAAGTTCGTAATAGATACTACAGCCTAGGACAGAAAATTGTGTATGCAGGTCCACGTCTTCGTATAGCCCCCATATTACGGTACCTCCCGATATTCGGTATTTTAATGATTTTAGCGACATTATTCACCCGAATTGTTTCAAATATAATATTTGAAGTTCGAAAAGTACACTATAGCCTAAGACAGAAAATTGTCTGTGCAGGTCCACGTCTTCGTATAGCCCCCATATTACTCACCGGAGTAGTTTCAAATTACGTTTAGATTTCGTAATGGGAACTACAGTCTGTAACAGAAAATTGTCTATGCAGGTCCAGGTCTTCGTATAGGTCCTATATATCAGTACCTCCTTACATTCGGTATTTTGACGATTTTAGGTGCAATACTCACCGAAATTGTTTGAGATGTCGTTTTTGAAGCCTGTGACAAAGAATTGTCTATGCAGGTCTTGGTCTTCGTATAGCTCCGATATAACGATACCTCCCTATATACGGTATTTTAGTGATTTTAGCTACACTATTGGTAATGACTTCAATATAACGTCTGAACTCGGTATTTTTTGAGATTTTAGCAGAATTTTTAACGGATTTTTATTTTTGAAAATGTCCAAATTCGTTCCAAATGGTGGAGGGTATTCGAAGTTGGCCGAACTTACTACTTACTTGTTATTTTTCATTTTTTTTCCAATTTAGCCAACTTTTGGTATTTTGAATTCTTATTTTGTAGAAATGCTACTAGCAAAAAGTTCACATTTTAGTACAGCCCTCAGTAAAAGATTTGGAACAATAAGCTCATAACTCATTATTTTTTAGAGTTATTGACATTTTTTGCGTATTTTGATTACCGATTATTTTCTATGCTTCAATTTAAGACATTGTTTATGAATTCATTCTGAGAGAAATTTCCAATTTGTAAAAGAGTTTTCAATCATCCCACGCCACTTACATTTTAAAAATAAAATATTTCCTTAGAAGAAATTGTCGCGCTTATCTCCGTGAAATTACTTTTCAATTTGTTTAAGTACTGCCTAGTAAATTTTGAATCGTTTTTGTTTATTGAGAAGTTGCCATTGGCAATAATCTTCCCATGTCATCATATCCGTAGCTTTACATTTTAATCACCATTTGACTGGCATTCTCCCCCATCAATGTTGTTGACAGCCAAGATGCAATCAATTATTT